CTATAGAAAAGTTGGTGAAAATCACACTTTTCTATAGCAAAGATGGTGAAGATCATAGTGTTTTATAGATAAGTTGGTGCAGATTCTAGTTTTCTTTAGAAAAGTTGGTGAAGATCACACTATTCTGTTAAAAAGTTTATGAAGATCATAGTTTTATATAGAAAAGTTGTTAAAGACAACACTTTTCTTTGGAAAAGTTTGTGAAGATCGCATTTTCCTATAGAAAAGTTGGTGAAGATCATAGTTTTCTATAGAAAGGTTTATGAAGATCACAATTATCTTTAGAAAATTTTATGTGGATCATAGTTTTTATTGGTAATTAACCCATTAACTATCATGGATATCTTTAGAAAACGTAATGAAGATAACAATTTTATTTATAAAATACGATGAAGACTGCAATTGTTTTGCACAATTCTGCAGCATTATCATTTATTTTATATTATCTAACCTATTAACCATTTATTTTAACATTTATGCTTTGTCCTAACCCATCTAAAAGATAAAATATTGAAATTATATTTAAGTTCTGAATGTTTTTGTGTAAAATTTTGCTTTGCGGTTGTAGAAAATTTATTATTGTTGCCATGTACTTTTCACCACTTATTGTTTTATAACATTGCTTGGCTTAAAATCCTCATCTTTAGTTAAAAATTAACATTTTTACGTTCATGCTTTCCCCTAATCCACCCTACAATAAGTTTATGTAAATGTTTTTGTAATAAAAAAAAAAAAAATCAACTTAATTAAAAATTCAGCCTGCGTGAAATAAATTTCGGTGACTGTTTGCTTAAAACCAATGGGGCCTATCATTTCGCCGAAGCTTTAGAGGAAAATCATCGTGAATTGGAAGTTTTAGATTTGGGTTTCAATGAAATTGGACCCGATGGTGGTTTAGTTTTAGTGACAGCTTTACAAAATAAACCCAATTTAAAAAGAGTCAATTTGGATGGTAATCAAGTAAGTTATCAATGAGATATTGGACCTCAAAATATATTTCTAATATTTTTAATTAATTTGAAAAACAAACAGTTTGGTTTTGAGGGTCGAGAACGTATTAAGGAAGGTATGCAATGTACTGCTAATCCAAATGCTTTAGAAGAAATGGAAGAAGATCAATCGGAGGGTGAAGAAGATGATGATGAAGTAGATGAAGACGAAGAGGAGGATGATGATGATACTGTTGATGAGGAGGTCGATGAAGAAGAAGATATTTATGATGATCATCATAATGACACCACAGAGGAGGCTGACGAGGAAGATTATGGTGAAAATGTAGCAGAAGAGACGGCTTATACCACTACCCAAGCATTTACCACTAAAGTAAGTTGAATTTTAAACAAAAATAACAAAAATTTAAAGTTTTATGTAAACATTTTTAAATTTATTAGATGCTTAATGCCAATGAGTCGTTTATATCCAATAAAAGTGTTACTTTTGATACCACCGCCACTAATATGGATGCCACAGCTGAGTCTTTCTGTCTCAGTCAAAAACCTTGTTCTTTACAAATGTTTGAATCTTTAACAGAAGTTGATAAATTGCAAGCCTTCAAAGGCATTATGGAGGTAATAGCAATAAGACCCTAAAACCAGTTTTAAATACTTAATAAAACATTAACTTATTCCAGCAATTCACCGATGACAACTATCTCTTGCTGCTCATCTTTACCACACTCAAATGTGGCCATTTATCACAAGCTTCTAGCACAGCTTTAGACTTGGCCATGTCTCTATTTAAAGAGTGCATAGATTATGCTGTTAAAACCAAACAAGAGCGTCGCGTTTTAAACTATCTACTCATACAGTTGGGTCTTATGCGTTCCGAAATGAAATTTAAATCTGCTTATAATTTGAAATCCTGTCAGTATGCCTTAAGAGAAACTTTAAATAAGAAAACCTTGGCTAGTGAACATATGAAAAATACTTTAAAAGTTTTCCTAGAACAAGTGGGAGCTTAAAATAAACTACTATTCTTACCAAATCATTCCCTCATATATTGTCTCAATATGTGTGCGTGTTTTGTTTAATTTTAAATTCTCTTTAACCAAATTTTTCTTTCTCTATTTTAAACCAAAAAAAACTGTTTGTTAAACTCCCACTTATTTATTTTTCTTACTCAATTTTTGTAATTTAGTTGATGAATTTGATAAAAAAATATTAATTTATTATAATAATAAATTTGTAATAATAAAAGCATAATTAAAATTTTGGGGAATTTTGAAAGCAATTTCATAAAATTTTTTTATGAAATTATGTTTTCTTTTCTCCAAATTATTTGAGTTTTATTTTTGGAATAGGTTTTTTTTTACTTCAAATCCAATTTTTCGTGTTTTACTAAAATTAAAATTTTTTACTAAAAATACAAATTTTTACTAACAATTCGATTTTTTTACTAAAAATACTATTTTTTTACTACAAATTCGATTATCTTAAAAGAGTCCGAATTTTTCAACAAATTCTATTTTTCATCGAAAATTTAATAAAAACAAGTTTTGCCTAAAAATGCAATTTTTCAATAAAAATTCTAATTTTTAATAAAAATTCGATTTTTCATTAAAAATTCCATTTTTTTTAATAAAAAACTGGTTTTTCAATAAAATTTATATTTTTCACTAAAATTTTGATTTTTTACTAAAAAATTTATTTTCCACCAAAGAAAACGATTTTTTCTAATTTCAATAAAATATCGCATTTTTTCAAAAAAATATTTTTCGCTAAAATTCTAATATTGCCTATAGTCTGTACTATAGACTAGTATGTAGACTGGACTATAGTCTAGTCTATGGTCTGAACTATAGTCTATAGTTTGGACTATAGTATAGTCTAAAATCTGGAAAATAGGCTAGTCTATAGTCTGGACAATACTCTAGGTCATAGTGTTGAAAATAGTATAGTCTATAGGCTGGAGGATGACCTAGTCTATAGTCTGGACTATTGTCTAGTCTATAGTCTGGACTATTAGTCTATAGTCAAGTCAATTAGTCTATACTAGTCTGGACTATAGTCTAGTCCATAGTCTGGACTATAGTCAAGTCTAACAGTCTTGTCTATAGTGTGGACTATAATCTAGTCTATAGTCTGGACTATAGTCTAGTCTATACTAGTCTGGACTATAGTTTAGTCTATACTAGTCTGGAATATAGTCTAGTCTATACTAGTCTGGACTATAGTCTAGTCTATACTAGTCTGGACAATAGTCTAGTCTATACTAGTCTGGACTATAGTCTAGTCTATAGTCTGGAATATAGTCTAGTCTATAGTCTGGAATATAGTCTAGTCTAATGTCTGGACAATAGTCTAGTCTATAGTCTGGAATATAGTCTAGTCTATAGTCTGGACAATAGTCTAGTCTATAGTCTGGACAATAGTCTAGTCTATAGTCTGGACAATAGTCTAGTCTATAGTCTGGACTATAGTCTAGTTTATAGTCTGGACTATAGTCTAGTCTATAGTCTGGACTATAGTCTAGTCTATAGTCTGGACTATAGTCTAGTCTATAGTCTGGACCATAGTCGAGTCTATAGTCTGGACTAAAGTCTAGTCTATAGTCTGGAATATAGTCTAGTCTATAGTCTGGAATAGAGTCTAGTCTATAGTTTGGGCAATAGTCTGGATTATTAGTCTAGACTATAGTCCAATCTATAGTCTGGACTATTAGTTTATAGTCAAGTCAATTAGTACAAAGTGTGGACTATAGTCAAGTCTAAAGTCTGGACTATAGTCAAGTCTAAATTCTGGACTATAGTCAAGTCTAATGTCTGAACTATAGTCAAGTCTAAAGTCTGGACTATGTCTAGCCTATAGTCTAGTCTATAGTCTAGTCTATAGTCTGGTCTATAGTCTAGTCTATGGTCTAGTCTATAGTCTAGTCTAGTCTATAGTCTAGTCCATAGTCTAGTCTTTAGTCTAGTCTATAGTATAGTCTATTGTCTAGTCAATAGACTAGTCAATAGTCTAGTCTATAGTATAGTCTATAGTATAGTCTATAGTATAGTCTATAGTATAGTCTATAGTATAGTCTATAGTATAGTCTATAGTATAGTCTATAGTATAGTTTATAGTATAGTCTATAGTATAGTCTATAGTATAGTCTATAGTATAGTCTATAGTATAGTCTATAGTATAGTCTATAGTATAGTCTATAGTATAGTCTATAGTATAGTCTATTATATAGTCTATAGTCTAGTCTATAGTATAGTCTATAGTATAGTCTATAGTCTAGTCTATAGTATAGTCTATAGTCTAGTCTAGTCTATAGTCTAGTCTATAGTCTAGTCTATAGTCTAGGCTATAGTCTAGGCTATAGTCTAGGCTAAAGTCCAGTATATAGTCTAGTCTATAGTCTAGGCTATAGTCCAGTATATAGTCTAGTCTGTAGTCTAGCAGATAGTCTATTCTATAGTCTAGTCTACAGTCTAGTCGATAGTCTAGTCTATAGTCTAGCATATAGTGTAGTCTATAGTATAGTCTATAGCCTAGCCTAATCTGTGATGGTCTATAAGAAGAATATTTAAAATTAAGTAAATATTCTACTGGATGCCCCTGTCTGCATTCAAACTTATTCTATTACAATAGGGTTTTTGTCTTAAATAACAGGGTGTATCACAGCAAAACCTAAAGTAATATATTGCTTTAATGAAAATTCGTTAATAATTTTATACTGTTTGAATAGTTTAATTTTTATTATTAAATATTTTATTACTGTTATTAATACAATTTTATTTAATTTTTCTAACATTTTGCTTAGTTTTAACTAAAGTATACAAATTTTTTGTTGCTTAACTATTAATAAAAATAATAATAATAATAAACATACATTTTTAGGGTATTCCATTGGTAATAGAAATACTAGGAAGATGTGTTTATGGTTAATAAAATTATTTATTAAAATAAAAAATTTGGGGATTTTCAAAAAAAGCATCATTATAATAAACCTTGAATAAGCTATAAAATAATAACAAGCAAAAAAAATACTATAAAATTATTATCTAGGTTATGGGTAAAAGTTTTGAAAAAAAATTTTGCAAATTTTTTTTTTTTTTTTTTAATTTATTTTTAAAAATATTTCTTTACAACATATCACACAAAAGGTCCAGCAAAATAGATTTTACGTTTCGTAGGCAATGGTTTGCTAGTGAGTGAAGTATTCTCTATAAATTTCTCAAAATTTGCTAAATTCTTGCGTATTTTCTTAGCCTTATGCGAGGAGGGATTAATGGCTTCACAAAGGGTCTCTGAATCGATATATAATTTATTAGAGTTTTTTGATTCCTCATTTTGTTCCTGTTCTATTTCATTGCTGTATTCCTCATCTAAATTGTACTCATCGGCAGTGGTTATTAAACTTTCACCATCTTCTTTAATATCAGCCAATAGGGTGGGCATGACGGTATTGAGGGCTTCATTAACTTTGGGCAAATCGGATTGAGTATTTTTGCCATATTCAGCATCTAAATTATACCAATCAAATTCGGCTTGTAAAGGTAAACTGGTAAGAGTTTCGTTGTCATTAGAGGATTTGCTATATAATGAGGATTTAGGTGTAGTGGGCGTTAGGGGAGAATTAGGTAAACTTAAACGTTTATTGATTTCTTGTAAAATATTTGGCATATGTTTACGTTTATATTGTTGTTGATAATTGGCCGAACTGATTTGAGGTCTCATCAAGCTGGTGTCCACTTTGTTAGACTTTAAGGAATTGCTTAATATGCCATTGATGGGAGTTAAATTCAGTTTCAAGGAATTACGATCTGGTTTATTGCTGCTGGGGGTGTTATGAAGTGTTAACGATGTATTAGGCGAACTAGTGGCATTGGGCATTAAGCCCATAATACCCATTTTTGTGGGCTCACCTTTAGGTGTCATTATTAAGTAATCATTTTGTTTTAAGGAGGATTTAGGAGCTATAATGGCAGCCACATTGGGTAACTTTGGTATATCAGCAAAAATCTCTTCAATTTCTTCAGTCTTTTGTGAGGCTGCCTCGGATATCACCGTGGCAGCATCTAAATCATTATCCTGTTCTATCACCGATTCTAAATCACGTTCCGACAAGGGAGCTCTATGTATATCAGCCCGAATTTGTACACTAGTTATGCCTACATTCACCTCAGATATCGAGCAATAGTCAGGCTCTACCAAGACCTCGCTATTATGAGCCTCTATCAACTCATCGGGTGATTCATCGAGTTGTTGCAAGGATTTCTTAAACTTAAGCAAATTAGCTGGTTTAGGTGGCAAGGCTGGCGGCAATTTATTAGCTTTGCTGCTGTTAATCTCTGTTGCAGAGCTACTCGTTTTATTATTTGAATCCATGTCTACATATAAATTTGAGGAATTTAACTCTGATCCTATGGGTTCATATTCATTACTGTAAATACTTTCGTAATTAAAAATTTCCAAACGTTCACTTTGATTGCTGTTATCTAAGGCCGGTGAATGTGTTATATACGCCGTCATACCCTGATAATTTGAGATCATATTTGTGGTTTTCAATTCGCAACCAACATCCTCCTCGTCGTCTTCGGTTTCATCGTTGCGTGGCACATGTACCATACTGTTTTTCGTAGAGAAATGTACACGTTTGCGTGTTAAAGTACCATTACGGGAATTGGGTGTAGCACCATCACTAGCTCGACTATTGCTGCGTTGATTGCGTCTATCACTTAATGAACTGCGTCTGGGTAGTGTGGTAGAATTTTGGGGAGTTTGAGATCTTTCTTCTACACCTTCCATACTTTGCTGTAAGAGAATTTGATTGACACATTCTAGCACGGGATTGACAGCACCATGACCATAGGATTTGGCACCCACAGAACCGGGTATTTCCTCTTGATCCGAAGCACTAGCATACCAATCATCTGTAGAGGTTTCGTATATTTGTTTGGGTGAAGCTTCCGAAAAAGCTTCCATAGCTCGACCTCTCACAATCTTCAGCTTACCCTCCATTTCCTCCTCAAAATCTTCATCCTGAGTAGGTGAAAATATGCCATCATCTTCCTCTAGATTCTGACTCATTTCACTGGCCTTGCTGGTGGCGGTGCTAATCGTGCTCTTTGAACTTTTTGTACTGGCTCTTGAATTTGAACGTGTCACCGAAGAGGATGTTGTCTCTAAACCACTCTGCTCTGAATCACGTTCACTTTCACTCTTAACACCATGCATACGTTCCATCGTTCTCGAATAGATATTGAGTTTTTCATAGCTCGCCTGGGAATCATCACGACTTATAGTGCTAGGATATTCTTCGGAATTGTTGTCGGCCTCTAAGGCTGGATCGTCAATGTTCATGGCTCGGGAACGCATATAGTCGCGAAATGTTCCCGAGGTTCGTTTGCTAGTATAGCGTACACTGCGTCTGGCTCCGAAAAACGATGATGAGACTGTATCATCACTCGAAGAGCCGTGTTCAGTTGTGGGATCATCTGCAATGAGGGTAAAGAGAGATAAAATTAATGAAATGTTTTTATTTCAGAAATCGAAAGTATATAAAGAAGAGATCAATCTTTTGAAGTTAAAATCGAACATGAGATATTAAGAACATTCAGACCAAAGTTCAGGAAAATTCAGTTAAGCTTGCGGAAAGAGAGAGAAATTTAATGAAATATTGATATTTTGGAAATCGAAAGTATATATATAAAAGATCAATCTTTTAAACAAAAGAGCGAACATGAGGTATTAAGAACTTTCAGTCCAAAGTTCCGGAATTTCTTTGAGGATCGTGCAAAGGAGAGTTAAGCTTACAAGATCATTGGGAAAATTTAAAAGGAGAGAGAGTAAAGATCTAGGAATAGTTTCAGTGTATTAAAGTACTAGATCAATCATTTCAAAGTTCTGAAATATCAGAAAAGCATGTAAATCTTTCCTCCTAAACTTACCATTATTTCTACTGCCATTTGAATCCTTCAGTGAGCCGCTTCCCACTCCTGTTTGTGTGCAGTTGTCTGTTAGCTCAATGTCATAGAATTGCTTTCTGCAATTGATGCATTGTAAGGCTTCCAAAACTAAACAGTCTTCGAGTAAATCTTTTGTCTCCTTATTACCACTAACAACCTCATCATCATCTTCATTGTCACCATCCTCGACAACACCCTCATCCTGGGCACTAGCTCTTGCCTCTTCCTGCAGTTTCGTCAGTTTCTTACTTAAAGCTCTATTCTGTCTAACCAAACGGCAAATTTCCACATCTTTCTCTTGTAAACGTTGATTGACCGATTTCATATCGTTTTTTAATTTAGACTCAAAACACAATAACGACTTTACCACACAGGCCAATTCCTCGGTACGTCGACGTTTCTCTTTGGCCAATTCACGTTGCAAAAACTTATTCTGTTGATCATAACTCGATAACATTTGCAATAGTTTACGTCGTTGAGCCTTTTCTGCTGAAATGGGTGTGGAACTGTGGGAATGTAGAGTACCTGAGGAGTTTGAGGAGGGTGATAAAAGATTTGCCAAAGGTGTCTTTTCCGGCTGAGGTGTCATGGCGCCTTTCTTACGCTCCCTTTTACCTAGGAAATCTCCCGAGGAAGAAGTAGATGAACTGCTGCGCTGTAGATCGACGACTTTCAAGCAGGGTATTATGGATGACGATAAATTGAGTGTAATAGAGTTATCAGTAACCTGGAAAACAAGTAATGAGATATAAAAAGAAAAAAATTATTAGGAATTTTAATTGTTTTTTAATTGAAATCGTTTTAAGGTATATTACGTTTGTTTTTCTTGTACAATGTTATCTCTTCTTTTTGTTAAATAGATATTGATTTTTATTTTGATTGTTTAAAAGTTGTTACGAATTTTTATTTGAAATGTTCCAACCTTTTACCATTGACGTTTTGTTGATAACTGAATTGCAAATAATTTTTTTTTGTACGCGCAGCAGTTACTTGGATTTTACCCTTTTCAATTGATATTGCAAAAAATATATATATATACTGTTCAGTTATAGGGGGGTTTCCATAGTCGCTTGTCTTTGGTAAAGGGGTACTGATTGTTCTTATCTATTTTAACTTGTATTGTGTTTTATTTAGTCATGTTTTCTTTCTAACTTATACTACAATTTTATCATACAATTTGTTTTGGATTTATAATATTACCCTGTTAGTTAATATAGCCTATATCTATATATTGTATATGGGGGGTTAAAAAACCAGACACCTAGGCAACTAACTTCAACATATGTCACTATTGTAATTGATAATACCTTAGTATTTGGTGGGAAAATCCACATGTAAGTGGGTAGTTTGGTAAAATAACAACATTGTTTTTCAGGAATAAAGAAAAGTGTATCGCCATAAATTAATATTTATGATGTTTATTTAATTTTTCGAGATTTTTGGAAAAGTAAACAGGAAGCCTGGACTATAATCATGATTATAGCATGAGAACAAATTTATTTGATTTGTCGCGATTTTCGAAAGAATAAAATCTCTATAGTCTGAACTAGACTACAGTTTGAACTATGGTTTACTCAGATCTATTGGCTGTTCTATAATCTTGACTATAGCCCGAACTAAAATCTAAACTATAGTCTAGTCTATAGTCGGTACTATAGTGTAGTCTAAAGCCTGGACTATAATCTAGTCTATAGTCCGGGCTTTAGACTAATCTATAGTCTGGATTACATTCTGTCTGGACTATATTCTAGGCTATAGCCTGGATTATGGTCTCCTCAATAGTCCGGATTCTAGACTAGTCTATATACTAGACTATAGTCTAGACCATAGACTAGTCCAGACTATACACTATAGTCCAGACTATAGACTAAACTATATTCCAGACTATAGATTAGACTATAGTCCAGACTATGGACTATAATCCAGACTATAGACTCGAATAGTCCAGACTATAGTCTCGACTATAGTCTAGTCTATAGTCTGGACTATGGTCTAGTCTATAGTCTGGACTATGGTATAGTCTATAGTCTGGACTATGGACTAGTCAATAGTCTGGACTATATTCTAGACTAGTCTATAGTCTTGACTATAGTATAGACTAGTCTATAGTCTGGACTATAGTATAGTGTATAGGCTAGTCCAGACTAAAGACTTGACTATAGTTTAGTCCATAGACTAGTCCAGACTATAGACTACACTATAGTCCAGACTATAGACTAGTCTGAAGTCCAGACTATAGACTAGACTATATTCCAGACTACAGACTAGACTATAGTTCAGACTATAGACTAGACTATATTCCAGACTATATACTAGACTATAGTCAAGAATGTAGAATAGACTATAGTCTGGACTATAGACTAGCCTATATTCCAGACTATAGACTAGACTATAGTTCAGACTATAGACTAGACTATATTCCAGACTATATACTAGACTATAGTCAAGAATATAGATTATACTATAGTCAAGAATGTAGACTAGACTATAGTTCAGACTATATAATAGACTATAGTCTAGTCCAGACTATAGACTATAGTCCAGACTATAGAGTAGACTATAGTCCATACTATAGAGTAGACTATAGAATGGACTATAGTCCAGAATATAGACTAGACTATAGAATGGACTATAGTCCAGAATATAGACTAGACTGTAGTTCAGACTATAGGCTAGACTATAGTCCAGGCTATAGACTAGGCTATAGTCCAGACTATGGACTAGGCTATAGTCCAGACTATAGACTAGACTATAGTCCAGACTATAGACTAGATTATAGTCCAGACTATAGACTAGGCTATAGTCCAGACTATAGACTAGGCTATAGTCCAGACTATAGACTAGGCTATAGTCCAGACTATAGACTAGGCTATAGTCCAGACTATAGACTAGGCTATAGTCCAGACTATAGACTAGGCTATAGTCCAGACTATAGACTAGGCTATAGTCCAGACTATAGACTAGGCTATAGTCCAGACTATAGACTAGGTCCAGACTATATACTATGCTATAGTCCAGACTATAGACTAGACTTTAGTTCGGACTATAGGCTAGACTATAATAGTCTGGACTATAGCATGGTCAACAGTCTGAACTATAATCTAGTCTATTGTCTATACTATTGTCTAGTTTATAGTCTGAACTGTAGTTTGGTCTATAATATGTATTATATCAAGTCTATAGTCTAGTCTATATTATGAGCTATATTCTAGACGTCTGAAGTATGTATATCATTTGGTCTCACCACTATTTATTTCTTTTTCGCTAATCTTTTTTTGTGTCGAAATCAATTCAATTACAATTTTGGAATAAGTTTTGTAATCGTCATAAAACTTCGCCTTATCCGATTTCGATTTATTAAAGTGTTAAACGATTGATAAAGATTTTTATTGGTTAATTTTTAAATGGTTATTGTATTAAGATTTGATTTAACTATAAATTGATAATACACAACTTAATAAACTGGAGTAAAAATCGAAATAAGATACTTTTTCACTTGAAATATTCAATACTTAACCTACAAAGTAAAGCGCCAATAATAAGTGGCCTTCTTAAGTTAAATGTCTGGAATGTCTTCTTAACAGGTTGTTAAAGGAATGAAGTCTCTGTATAGTGAAAGTAAACATCCAGATCACTTTCATATGAAGTGTTAAAACTGCAACATTTCGAAGTCCCATAGAACATGTCACGTGACCAGTTTCGAGTAACTTCCTTTCCCTTTCAATATAATTTTAATTTTAATGTTGTCTTAATTAACAATTTATTTTTACTAACTATATTTAATTAGCAATTAATCAATAATATAAAATGCTAATTTTTTAAATATTTTTGGCAAAACAAAATACTTATTTAGCAGCTTCTTAATAAATATTAGTTATTTATTTAAATTGCAATCAGCCAACACCTGCTAATATTTTGTTTGAAATCATAATTGATGATAATTTTTTGTTTAATAAACCCCATAAGAGAGAGGGAGAGAGAAAAATAATATAATAAATAAATATAAAAGATAAATAAACAAAAAATATTTATGATATTGTTGTGTTAATATTTAACAATCAAAATGCGGTAGTGGTTTGACCGCGGAAAACCCTTTTTCCTTATCTTTAGTGTAGCAGAAGTTTGACATTGAAATTTGTTTTCTATTGTTTTATTAGTTAGATAATAAAGTTATTAATTAAAAAGCTTCAACTAAATGTTATAATCATTAGTCTTATGCTTAAAACAATTTCATCACTTTTGATTGAGATAAACTAATAAAAAATTTTTTTGCATAAAACAAGTTCTGTAAACTATAATATGGACTTTAGACTGAACTATACTATAGTGTAAACTGTAGTGTCAAATATATATGTATATAACTACAATCTGATCTAGTCTATAGTGTAGTCTAGACTAGTCTATAGTCTAGTCTATAGTCTAGTCTATAGTCTAGTCTATAGTCTAGTCTATAGTCTAGTCTATAGTCTAGTCTATAGTCTAGTCTATAGTCTAGTCTATAGTCTATAGTCTAGTCTATAGTCTAGTCTATAGTCTAGTCTATAGTCTAGTCTATAGTCTAGTCTATAGTCTAGTCTATAGTCTAGTCTATAGTCTAGTCTATAGTCTAGTCTATAGTCTAGTCTATAGTCTAGTCTATAGTCTAGTCTATAGTCTAGTCTATAGTCTAGTCTATAGTCTAGTCTATAGTCTAGTCTATAGTCTAGTCTAGTCTAGTCTAGTCTAGTCTATAGTCTAGTCTATAGTCTAGTCTATAGTCTAGTCTATAGTCTAGTCTATAGTCTAGTCTATAGTCTAGTCTATAGTCTAGTCTATAGTCTAGTCTATAGTCTAGTCTATAGTCTAGTCTATAGTCTAGTCTATAGTCTAGTCTATAGTCTAGTCTATAGTCTAGTCTATAGTCTAGTCTATAGTCTAGTCTATAGTCTAGTCTATAGTCTAGTCTATAGTCTAGTCTATAGTCTAGTCTATAGTCTAGTCTATAGTCTAGTCTATAGTCTAGTCTATAGTCTAGTCTATAGTCTAGTCTATAGTCTAGTCTATAGTCTAGTCTATAGTCTATAGTCTATTAGTCTAGTCTACAGTCTAGTCTATAGTCTAGTCTATAGTCTAGTCTATAGTCTAGTCTATAGTCTAGTCTACAGTCTAGTCTACAGTCTAATCTATAGTCTAGTCTATAGTCTAGTCTATAGTCTAGCCTATAGTCTAGTTTATAATCTGGTCTGTAGTCTAGTTTATAATCTAGTCTATTCTCTCGTCTATAGTCGGTTCAAACTTAATCGATTCTAATATTCCTGTTCCACTTACCCCATCTTGTTGTTGCTGCTGTTGCGCCTGCGCATTACACTCTCCATTTTCTCCTGTTTCTGCGTATTCTGTGAATTGCGTCCGCCAAAAGAAAGTCTTTTATAAAGATTCGATGAAGACAACGACGATGAGATACTATTGCTGCTGCTGCTATTACCAGTTGTTGTTGTCGTAGTCGCATCACTACTACTATTAAACTCACCCGAACTGGCACCACTCGATGCAACTAACGAATCGACCAGCAGATCATGTTCACTTTCGGGTATTTTCTGATAATTTTGTAAAGTGGCCGGGCCCTGTTCGACTGGTTCAACAGCTAATAAATTTTTCGAACACTTTATAGTCATTTCAGCCGTTTTAGGCAAATCCTCGTTTTTAGAATCCTTATTACTGTTGTGGCTTATATTATGATGATTATTTACTTTGACACGATCATAAAATTCACCATCAAAACTATGACGATAACTGCCATGCAAACAATTGAAAGAAGTTAATTTACTGCTACTTTCCGTATATAAAGGATCCGAATTACGTTTGTTGTGGTTATTGTTGTGGGTGTGATTTGTGGTATTTGAATAATTACGATAATTTTTGATATTATCATAGGTACTTAGGAGATCGGTTTTTAAAAATTTCTCTATAAAATTTGTGGGATTTTTTGAGGCTATAGAAGCAAAAAATCTATTACCATTATCGGATAGAGAAGAACTAGTTCTACGTTGTATGGGTTGAGGGTGTTGTAATGTTGGTGAATTGTTTGTTTGGGTAGGGGGCGTGGCTAAAGCGACATTTAACTGAAGTTGTGTTTCATGTTCTGGATGTTGTTGTATGCCATAGATTTGTGTAGTATTCAAAAGACCAAACATTACTTGGAAAGGTCTTTTTTTTTGTTGTTGAATGTTATTATTAGGAAGTTTTCTTGGTAAATATCTGTTGAACGATTTAGTGTTTAGTGGGTTCGTAACTTAGCTTAACTTAACGAGAATACTGCTTTAGAGTTGTATTTATAATAAAGTGTTGCCATTGTTGTTTGTGGAGTTTTAAAGATTCTGCAAAGAGTTAATAAGAAAATAATTTAGGAATTAGTTTTATTTTTAATAAATTGTTGATTTTGAATTATTTATAGTTTGACTAGTTTTATAGTTTTTATCGTTATTTGATATTTAAATATTATGTAAATATCTAGAGCATTAGTTTTATAGTTTATTTTGTTATTAGCTTTTCAATTTTGTTCATTTGTTTCTTTATAATAGAGTCTGGGTTTTTAGGGAAGTGTTTGAGTTATAAATAGGAAGTCTATAGAGGAAGTAAATTATTAAATTTCCAGAGTTTGTTTAACAATATTAAGTAGGTTACTGTAAACGTAATCGAAAAGTAATCTATTTCTTTAAAATTTTTTATAATTTTGCCAAAATCTTTTATTTTTCATTTGAATATGAAAGAGTTTAAGATTTTTCATATATTTGTTCAAAATTTTATATTACAGATAGAAGTTTATAGTTTATTAACTCAACATGTTCTCAATAACGAATGCCTTCAGTTTCGGTTACAAAAACGATCACAGTCTAAGGTAAGTGTTGCCATTTATAAAGTTCTTAATCTGAAATTCAATTCTGCACAACCAAATTTCGTCCATTTTTAACACACAAAGTTCCCAAACTCAACATTTAGTTCTTTGTTTCAAATTTATCATTCACATTATAAAATTGACTTTTTTCATTAAAATTTTGGTTCGAAGGACCATTTATATGTTTGCACTCAAATTCATGTTCAATTTTGGCGCGTAGGACCATTAAAATTACACACAATGTTCTGAAACTCAAATTCAGTTCTGCACCAATAATATTGTTAGATTTTGTCTCTTTTTATTAAACTACAAGATATGTTTGGCTTCAATTCATGGTCCACGATATAAAATTCACATTCTTCATTAATTTTTGGGTTCGAAGGACCACTTAAGTTTAACGCAATTTGCTTTATTTATCAAAGATTACAATTTATATAAAAATTTTGTTTTTAAAGTATTCGTAATTTCGTGTTATAGAAAGATTTTGCAATTTTTATAAAAATTTCACTTAGAATTCCTCTTTTCACTTTTAAACTTTCTGAATTCTTGAAATTTTAACAATTTTTCAAATATTTTTCTTACACTCTCCGCTTGACCGTTCTCTTGCGTATCCTCTTTAAGACAGTCATACCGAAGTATTGAAAACATTTTCAAACCCCTGTTTTTAGTTTAGAATTTCATTTCTGCACACATTTTCCTAAATCTGCCTTTAGTAATCTCCCACGCACACTCTCTCTTTCCCTCTCTTTTAAACTGCAGTTAAAATTCTCCCTTTAAATCTCTTAACATCTCAATTCCTAGAAATATTTCTTTAGTTTTTTCCTCTTTTTGGCTTTAAACCTCATTTTCAATAAAAATTGCTAAGCTACTGTTTATTTTACGAGTCCTGTATATATATTTTTTTTAAACACAGGTACTAAACCTGTTGCTAAAGGAAAATCCTATTTATGATTTAATCTCTCGTAGTAGTTTAGGGTGTTTTCTTTACTTTTAAATGTAGATAAATCTTTGTGATTTTTTTTACGGTGATCAAATTAGTTCTTTAAATAAATATTTAATTAAAGCATAACAAAATTATAAGAAAAATTTATAGATTTAAAAGAAGAAATAAAAAGTGGGCGAGTTTGTAGATGCTGTGTTTTTTCCAAGCTTAATTATAGAAACAAGTAGGAGGGTTTAATTTCAAGTTAAATAGATATTTGGAGACATTTTTTAGGTTATGGGCTGGATTAAAGAAAGATTTAAAGATGAATGACTAAGGAATTTGAAAACTGATTTTGACTAATTTTTAAGGCGTTACAAACGATCTAACTAACAAACTAACTAACGAACAAACGATTTAACAAACTAACTACGAACAAAGGAACTAACGAACGAACGAACGAACGAACGAACGAACTACCTAACTAACTAACTAACTAACTAACTAACTAACTACTAACTAACTAACTAACTAACTAACTAACTAACTAACTAACTAACTAACTAACTAACTAACTAACTAACTAACTAACTAACTAACTAACTAACTAACTAACTAACTAACTAACTAACTAACTAACTAACTAACTAACTAACTAACTAACTAACTAACTAACTAACTAACTAACTAACTAACTAACTACTAACTAACTAACTAACTAACTAACTAACTAACTAACTAACTAACTAACTAACTAACTAACTAACTAACTAACTAACTAACTAACTAACTAACTAACTAACTAACTAACTAACTAACTAACTACTAACTAACTAACTAACTAACTAACTAACTACTAACTAACTAACTAACTAACTAACTAACTAACTAACTACTAACTAACTAACTAACTACTAACTAACTAACTAACTAACTAACTAACTAACTAACTAACTAACTAACTAACTAACTAACTAACTAACTAACTAACTAACTAACTACTACTAACTAACTAACTAACTAACTAACTAACTAACTAACTAACTAACTAACTACTAACTAACTAACTAACTAACTAACTAACTAACTAACTAACTAACTAACTAACTAACTAACTAACTAACTAACTACTAACTAACTAACTAACTAACTAACTAACTAACTAACTAACTAACTAACTAACTAACTAACTAACTAACTAACTACTAACTAACTAACTAACTAACTACTAACTAACTAACTAACTAACTAACTAACTAACTAACTAACTAACTAACTAACTAACTAACTAACTAACTAACTAACTAACTAACTAACTAACTACTAACTAACTAACTAACTAACTAACTAACTAACTAACTAACTAACTAACTAACTACTAACTAACTAACTAACTAACTAACTAACTAACTAACTAACTAACTAACTAACTAACTAACTAACTAACTAACTAACTAACTAACTAACTAACTACTAACTAACTAACTAACTAACTAACTAACTAACTAACTACTAACTAACTAACTAACTAACTAACTAACTAACTAACTAACTAACTAACTAACTAACTAACTAACTAACTAACTAACTACTAACTAACTAACTAACTAACTAACTAACTAACTAACTAACTAACTAACTAACTAACTAACTAACTAACTAACTAACTAACTAACTAACTAACTAACTAACTAACTAACTAACTAACTAACTAACTAACTAACTAACTAACTAACTAACTAACTAACTAACTAACTAACTAACTAACTAACTAACTAACTAACTAACTAACTAACTAACTAACTAACTAACTAACTAACTAACTAACTAACTAACTAACTAACTAACTAACTAACTAACTACTAACTAACTAACTAACTAACTAACTAACTAACTAACTAACTAACTAACTAACTAACTAACTAACTAACTAACTAACTAACTAACTAACTAACTAACTAACTAACTAACTAACTACTAACTAACTAACTAACTAACTAACTAACTAACTAACTAACTAACTAACTACTAACTAACTAACTAACTAACTAACTAACTAACTAACTAACTACTAACTAACTAACTAACTAACTAACTAACTAACTAACTAACTAACTAACTAACTAACTAACTAACTAACTAACTAACTAACTAACTAACTAACTAACTAACTAACTAACTAACTAACTAACTAACTAACTAACTAACTAACTAACTAACTAACTAACTAACTAACTAACTAACTAACTAACTAACACTAACTAACTAACTAACTAACTAACTAACTAACTAACTAACTAACTAACTAACTAACTAACTAACTAACTAACTAACTAACTAACTAACTAACTAACTAACTAACTAACTAACTAACTAACTAACTACTAACTAACTAACTACTAACTAACTAACTAACTAACTACTAACTAACTAACTAACTAACTACTAACTAACTAACTAACTAACTAACTAACTAACTAACTAACTAACTAACTAACTAACTAACTAACTAACTAACTAACTAACTAACTAACTAACTAACTACTAACTAACTACTAACTAACTACTAACTAACTAACTAACTAACTACTAACTAACTACTAACTAACTAACTAACTAACTAACTACTAACTAACTAACTAACTAACTAACTAACTAACTAACTAACTAACTAACTAACTAACTAACTAACTAACTACTACTAACTAACTAACTAACTACTAACTAACTAACTAACTAACTAACTAACTAACTAAATAAATAAATAAATAAATAACTAACTTGGACTGTAATTCAGAACAGTGCAATAGTTAGCCTACAGTCCAATCTATATTCTAGTCGATAGTCTATCCTAATCTGATGTGGATTATAGGCTGTACTATAGTCAGGTCATTCTATAGTTTGGATTATAGTCTAGTCGATAGTCTGGACTGCAATCTAGTCTACAGTGTGGACTATAATCTAGTCGTAGCTGTAGTCAGGGTCATTAATTTCTCTCATGTATATTCTATAGTCTGGACTACAGTCTAGTCGATAGTCTGGACTGTAGTCTAGTCTCAAGTATTTACCGCACTCAAGTCTATAGTATGGACTATAGTCTTATCTGTAGTCGGGGCTATTGACTTCTCTTAAGTCAGGGCTATTGACTATAGTCTGGTTTATAGTCCGGTGTATAGTTTTGGGTAATAGTCCAGTCCACAGTCTGAGGTATAATCTACTCTATAGTATTAGTATTTTAGTTTGTATTTTAGTCAAATCTGTACTCTGAGCTACAGTCTATTCAATTATATAGTGTGTACTAATATATTGTCTAGACTATAGTCTTGTGTATAATCTTGACTATAGTCTAGTCTCGATTATAGTCTAGTCTATAGTCTGACCTATAGATTAGTCTATATTCTGGACAATATTTTAATCTATAGTCTAGTCTATTGTCTGGAATATAGTTTAGTTTATAGTCTGCACTATATTCTACTCCATAGTCTGCACTATAGCTTATTGTTTAGTCTATAATTTGGTGGATAGTCTAGCCTATCATCTGGATTAAGTCTAGTCTATAG